AGATGCACTGCCAAACACTGAGCTTGGAAAACCTCTCTCAGCAGTACTGTTATTCAGTGTTATTCAGCAAAAAGCTCCAGCAAATCTTTCATGGATATGTTAATTCGAGCTGGCATACAGATGTTTACTTTGAGTTCAGAAAGTAAATATATGCTTTAATATCAACTGAAACATCTGCCCTGACTTTTGCAGGACAACTCAGGTCAAGCATTGAGGTTAAACATGGATGAAGCTTGTTACCTTAGATATCTACATTTCAAAACGTTGACTGCTCTCTGAGCAAAATCCGGAATTTCAGGACATTTACTGCTTAGTTTTTAGTTTTGTGGGTTGGGTGGTCTTCTGTGGCTTTGGGTTTGCTTGTTGGGTGGTTTTTTTTCTGCTTTTTTTGTTTGTCTGTGTTTTTTTAATCTTGTTAATCTTACTTGAAATTTGATAATCTTAAACTTAACTGATTTTCTTTCTGAAACAATAAACCAAGAGCAATTTTAAAATGCCTGCCTGCTGCCTCCCCATACAGGACATAGTGACACTATGGAGAAGTAGACTGATGTAAAAGAAGTTGAGCTAATTCTCCATTTCAGAGTGAAATCCAGAAATAAAAAGTTTAATTTTATAAAGACAATCAGAACTTGCAGTTGCATAAGTGAATAATGAAGGAAATTGGCAAGCTATAAAACATGATCCATAACATTTCAATTATTTTGCATATGCATTAATTATAGGTCTCATTTAGAAAAATCCTTCAAAAAAAAAAAAAAAAAGTATACACATTTTTACCCTGTGATTTTAAACCTAAGTCAATGCTGTCAAGCCAGGGCACATTGAGAATTTATGGAATTTTCTTACTGACCAAGCCTTAAAGATAACTGAAACACTGAACTGCACCTGTTTCAAATGTTTCCCTCTCACAGATAAAGAACAACGTAACTGCCCCAAAGCAGATCGACCAAATAATCCAATAACCCTCTCATCAGTCACAGTAATCTGCAGTGAAGCTGACAGCTTTCTACGTCAAGCCCTCCTGCGTTTCTTCCTCTCCTAAAACTCTTCTTTAAGCTAATAAGGTCCACTCCAGCATTATGGCTTTTTTTTTTTTCCACTCAGACACAGTGATGTGTAACTCTATGTAATATACCACATCAGCTAAGCACTAAAGTGTTCACCCAGCCATCTAAGTCTTCATCGCAAGTCGCAGCAGCACTGCACTGGTGCAAATGATCATGCAGGGTGACTAAAGTTCTGAAGATCGGCTCTGAAAACAGAATTTACCCACCTAGATGGAAGCTATCACGCACCACTGAATATAAAGGGAGCTGTAGGTACTTCTTCAGGCACTTCTAGCTAGCAGCTGTCTGCTTTGGTGCACAGCACCAATGACCTGGTGATTAGAGGTGCTTAAGGCTTTCTGCTCCCTCTGCATTGTGCTGGCAACTGGTCTGAAATTCTGACCTCAGACCTTGACATTGCCTTTGCTTATGTAATGATGTTAATACCACTTGCAAATCTAACTGCATACATGACAGAGGATGGATTATTATTATTATTTTTTTTTTTACAAGAGACCAGCCGGTTCAACCTTGTGCTTTCTACCTCCCCCCTCCAAGTTTCTTATTAAGCATTTAACAGAAAGAACTACACAACATACAGAACATGGAGCAAAATATGAACAATCTGTTGCAAAGGTCATAACTGTATAGTCACTATAGCAGCAATAAGTAGATCATGTCCACAGCTAAAGCACACGCATCCTAACTAACCAAACTGTGCAAGTATAATCTCAATTGTACACAATTTGTATTCCTTGTTGTAGATCACACCCTGCAATGCACACAAAATGCACTTACTGTGAAAGCTTCAGTGATATTGGTGAGCTGGATTAGGCTCTTTGGAAATCTGTCACTATTGCTAGCACAGAAGGGCACCTGCTGCCTCCAGTCCCAACAGCAGGTACAGTTTCACACGTGGAGGGCTCCTGATTCTGCTATACTGGAAAACTGCCACTGCCTACATGGTACAGATGATGCAGTGTTCCAGTTACAGTCGGGATCTCTTCCTAGAAACTGTCTGGGAGCAACATTTGAACACAATTTAGAAGAGGAAGTTCAGATCTCACTATTGGATTGCACAGAATGTAATGAGACCAGAGTCCTTCAGATCTCACAATGCAAGATTTTCACTTGTCTCTATATTTCCACTATTTTGTCATGAACAAAGACCACAAAAAGGAAAACACCTGCAGGAAAACGCATATTGACATAAGAAACTGAAATCATAAAATTCTATAGAGTTGCTATAGTACTACTGCTAGTCTATTTGAAATAGTGTGCAGACTACAGTTTTTAAGATATTATTCAGAATATATTATTTTGTTTCTTCTAAATTCAATCTGAAATTTAAGTCTGGACCTACTACTTCTCTTGGCTTGCTTATCAAGTGCCCATCCGCCTGATAAGTTCACTATCAAGTGATAGAGGCAATGTGTCTCACAGGTTAGAAATTCTGCAAATGACACTAGAAAAGTGGAATAGAGAAGAGACTCAAATTTGTGCTTGGATACAGGGAAGTGCAGTTGAAGCATTTTTTTCATGAGGCAAGAGCCTCACCTGACAACTGGGGTTCACGTGCTGGCTAACCAACCATCACACATAGCTCAAAATATAAACATGCAATTACACCTCACTGGCAAATATCTTTTAGAGGACACCATTTACTTTTCATACTTCCATTTCCGCAAGTCCAATAAATTTCATAGTTCATAGGCAATTTTATTTTTATTTTATTTTTATATATTACCTATAACCATCTGATCAACATATTTTCACATACGCGGCTTTGATGCCCTTCACAACAGCCTCCATCAAACACAGGATACTGAACTTAACGGGCTATATTGTGGCAATTCCTAGTTCTAATAGGTTCCAGTGACCTTGTAACCCAAAAATAAGAAATATAAAAGTAGAGAAGCTCAGTAATTCTGTAGGCTTAGGGGAGCAATCATTCTAAAAACAGTAAGAGAAGATACGTGAAATTGAGTTTACAGTCTTTATATCCCCAGGTACAAAGCTACCCGGTATTAGTGCATTTGCCAGCTTCTGCTCAAAAGAGATCACACCTGTGTAATCACTGAAAAGCCTGGAGAATTACACTGTTGCAGAGCAATCTGGAGAGATGTGAACAGCAGCTTTGCCACTGTGCACAGCTGTGCCAAAAAGGCACAAGAGAAGGAACTCCCCAGTTATCATATAATTCTCACCTGCACCACCTCCATGCAACTAACCACTGCCTTCCAGCTCTGCGATCCACCAGGCTGTAGAGTCAATTCAGGTTTATGAGGGCTGCGTTAAAACATGACCTTAAATTCCTGAAAAACAGCACAGTCAGTCAACTAATTGGGATTCACAGACAGCTGGGAAAGTGAACACAAATCTTCTAGTCTGTCCATGTGGATTTACACTGTTTGCTTTGCTACCTCAGCATCCTGCTGACTTCGATTTTAAAAATTAGTACAAGTAATGGCTGGGCATATTTCTAACCAGAGGTACTTGCAGAACATGCTTTACAGCTGGCAGAACTCAGCTACCAGCATCCTCATATTTATCCAAACATTAAGAACCTATTTTTAATTTGGGAAATGCAGCGTGCTTATGTCACAAAAGACCCCAAAAAATCCAACAAAACAAAATAAACCAGCAACAACAAAGAACATATCTGAGTACTCCACTAAGACAGAGGAGAATTCCCTACCCTCATGATTGCTATTTTGGAAGGAAGAGTATGTATTACAGAAGATACAACTGATCTAATAACGGAGCTTCCCATGGATCTCCTTGCAGCTACATGTTCATGTATGTGTGTCCTCGGGTGCCTAACTGGGAAACACCTGGCTTGGACAGCCTGATTCTTGCCACATCAAGCTAAAACCTATAAATATTTATAACTTCATTGAGAGGAAAGAAGAATAATTTGCATGACTTGCTCCAGGCTCATAGTCTGACTCAGTAGAAGGCTGTGAAGTAGAATTTTAGGAGTTCCCAACTCCCAGGCCTATGGTCAGCTTACCAGCCTGCATACTGCTAGGATCATTGCCTCATGTCACTTCAATAGAGTGGTGAAATGCAACTTTGTGTTGCTATTATTCATCTAATCTTTTCAGCTTTATTAGGCACAACAGATCACTAATGTATGTTTTAAAGAGAGCTTTCATTTATTAGGCAATCAGTTTCCATCATCAAATCCTCTCTTTCCTCATAGAAGAAAAAATCTCCTCAGCATCAGCACACAGTACAGCTTCCTGTAGATATCAGTGTAAGAGCTGAGACGCACTTCCAAGGCTTTGAGCTAGCATGTCCACAGGGGTGCATATTATGGACATAGGAAAGATTTTCAGTTTTGCATATGCGAGAAGGGATTAGCTTCATAATTATATTCAAAATCAACTGAAAAAAAACTGTGTTCAGTTTTGGGCACCTCAGTACAGAAAGGACTTGGAGGTGCTGGAGCAGGTCTAAAGAAGGGCAACAAGGCTTGTGAAGGACTTGAAGAACATGAGGAGAGACTGAAGGAACTGGGGCTGTTCAGTCTGGGGAAAAGGAGGCTGAGGGGAGACCTTATTGCTGTCTTCCAGTACCTGAAAGGCGATTGCAGCAGAGCGGGGCTGGTCTCTTCTCACTGGTGACAGGTGACAGCACAAGGGAAAATAGCCTCAAGTTGCATCAGGGGAAGTATAGGTTGGATATCAGGAAACACCTCTTTACAGAAAGGGTTGTTAAGAAGTGGAATAGGCTCCCCGGGGAGGTGGTTGAGTCATCATCACTGGATGTGTTTAACAACCATCTGGATGTGGTGCTCAGGGACATGATTTAGCAGAGAGTTGTTAAGAGTTAGGGTAGTATGGTTAGGTTGTGGTTCGACTTGATGATCTTCAAGGTCTTTTCCAACCTGATTGATTTTATGATTCTATGATTCTGTGAAGAAAATTGGTCCAGTAACAGAATTTATGCACAAAGACCTACCTACAGATAATACCTACATAAAGAATTTCTACTGGTTTCTTATGTACTTTCATCCCAAAATAATTTTGATCGTTTTGATTAATCACCAGCAACATATGTGTAGAAAGACTTATATTCACATTTACTAATTAGAATTACTAATTGGAATTAATCCCAATGCACGTGAGAATCAGATCCCTTGTGTCTTGCTCAGCCACCATTCCACTTTGTCCTTTGATGCTAATTGGTAAAAAAAGAAGGTGTATATCCTCTTGTGCACACTTGCGAACACACTGAAGCCATTCAGTCTAACTCATCAGCAGCTTTCAAATATGCCATTCTTGGCTGTGTGGCATCTTAGGATTTGCTTTAAGATTCTACCTTAACACATGAACAGTTAAGACTTAATAGACCTGGTTTAGACCAAATGGGAACACTCCAACTGTCTGCCTTAAGACTCCCGTGGACAGTGACATCTGGTCACATTAGAATTACAGTTTTCAACTACAAAGAAAACTTTTTTTAACCTTCTGACACAGAAAATTGATCCACTTGTGGAAGTTGCAAGACCCCAAGAACATTAATTGTGACTTTCAGGAAACAGCAGAACACCATCTTGACCAGATGAGTATGAGACCAAATGGTCTCGTCAAATCCTGCTGCTTTGTAATGCTCTGGCACTACCCAAAACTCAACTTCTGAATTCTCCATGCACAGAAACATCTCTCTTCCCTTAGAGAGCAGTGGTTCTATTTTCACTGTATCACAATATTCTATGGTTGGTGCCTTGCTCTTGGGTTTGTTCTATAAAACAGGTAGAAGAAAACAATTTATATAATTGTTTCTGTTCCTTAAAAACCCAGATGAGCCAGTACAAGCAGTCTAGCTCCAGGATATTCTGAAGTCCATTGCCCAAAAGGTACAAATACTTGGCTTCATGCTCTATATGAGAAATGAGCAGTTCAAGTAATCCTTAAAAACGAAGACATTGGCAGAACGGAGAATTAATAGGTTTCCACTTCCAAAGGGAAAACAGTCCCATTGCAGAAAGGTTTACAAGCACTAGTCTGTACTATATTCAGAAGACTATGCTCTGAATATCCTATGATGACTATGAAGCAGCAGCCTAGGCACTTTCAGTAAGGGTTTGTCCAGAGATCTTTTAGAAGAGATTGACAATTGCTTTTTACAGGATGATAATAAAATCTACACCTACGTGTATTCTGACTTTACTGACACCTAACTGCTACAGAAACTACACATCACATGCCATCCTGCTGTAAACATATCCCTTTTCTATCCTGTTTTTGTTTTTGTTTTTTGAACCTGCAGCATCTTCTACTCCAGTCACCAAGATGGAAGAAAATGCAAACACCAGTTTGGAAGAAGATTTCGAAGGACAAGCTACACACACAGGCAAGAAAACTGACTATACTTGTTTTCTAAAAATAAGCGAAACTTCCTCTGATCACTAAGGAAGCCTAGAATTCATCTACACTAACTGGGATGTTGAAGTCCTTCAACAGAAATGTAGGCTCCAAATCCAATGAGAATATATTTTGTATTAAGTGACAGCTCTCATGGAAAGGCAGGTAATATCAAACCAATTTTTGTGACAGTCATTCTCATATCTCAAAGCAGTCAGAAACAAACTACCATTCTTCTTTTGGGGGAGAAAAAAAAAAAAAAAAGAAGAAAAACAACAAGAATCATACTAATGCTAGAATTAGGTTACAAGGTTCCACAATAAAAGCTGAATTATTTTTTTCCTTCTTTTGGAAGGAACATTCAGTGCTAAAACTGCATCTATACATCCTTTTGGCAAACACAGCATAGCATTTAAAAGCTTTAAAGGCATTCTTGCTTGGAATCACAATTCTTTTTAATCTAGCGCTCGATCACTAAGCCTTTTCATGAGTACTGACACTGCACTCAATTCTATGGACAGGTATCACTGCATCCCATCTCCCTAACAGGTATCTATATGCTTTAAGACAAGCATTCCTCACTGTGTTCTGAAGGCTTCTTTTCTTGTGCTGTAATAACTCTTGTAGCTCTTGTAATAACTATTTTTTAGGGTTCTTTCCCAAGAAGCCCTGCTGCTGTTGGCTGTTGGCATTTTTCAGAGACTCAAATGTAGGGCACTATATCCACGCTTAGGCTTCTAAATAATTTTTAAAATCAAGTCACTGTATACTTAAAGCCTTATCACTATGCCAAGACTTACAGGTTAATTCCTGTCTTGGAATCTTGTTTGCAAAAGATAGTTCACCTTCCCTTTTAGCTGCTTTTCAAGATGTCAAAATCTAATCCAAAACAGACTCTTAGCAACTGGCAACACTACTCTTTCTCATGAGTGGGAGAGCTTCTTAACTAGCCACTCCTGAATTTCCACAGAAGTAAACTTGATCTCTGAAAACATTCAAATATTCTTTGGTTTTACTTTATGGTGCAAATTTAAGTGTTTTGTTTTGACAAAAACAACATAGGAATTTTGAAAGTCTTTTCCCTTCTCCACTCCAAAATTTAACCAATTCAATCAACCAGTTCCAAAGAGCAAGATCTGCATTACCATCAGAGTTACTAGACCACTGCTTTACCGGTTACACTTCCAGTGGAATATACATGGATTTAAAAATAAATAAAATCTTGAGGGCTCCAGGATCTTAGTTTTACAATGAATGCCAACTCCTTATGCCTGGTTGCATTCAGACCCTGTCCGTAAGGAAAGGCAAATGTACATTTATGAAGCACTGGCTTTGGCCAAGATATCAGTTTTAAAAGGTTTCCACATCCTCATCCTTGTTAACTATTCATGTAGATCACTAAAATATTTTTAATGATAATGATATAAACTAGATCACCAAAATGATCCTCCTCTTCTGGAAGCTAATGAATACATTGATTGTAAAGCTCTGGTTCTCAGCCCTCCTGGAGAGTACTCTGAAGGGAAAAGGGGTGGATAAATTGCAGCATAGGTAGGCAAGCCAATAAAGGGCAAATTTAAGGAAGCTTTTTGTTGCCACCAGTTTCTCATCTAACAACTTCTCTCTTAGGGCCCAAAGGTGTGATCAATGACTGGAGAAAGTTTAAATTAGAAAGTGAAGATAAAGACTCCTTACCCTTGAGCAAGAAAGAAATTCTTAGACAAATGTCTTCACCACACAGGTCCTTCAGTAAAGATGATAAAGATACCAGAGAGAGATTCTGCCGTAAGGTAAGAGAAAAAAACAAAAACAAAACAAAACAAAGAAACAAAAACAAAAAAACATTTTGATTCTATATAAAACATACAATGCTATAAACAAGAAAATACTGAAATTGCTAGCCTTAATTCCTCTGCAGCTTAGCAGAAGACCTATCAGACAAACAAATCAGAATTACTGACAGTAACTTTACTTTGTATTTATATTGCAAATATAATATGAAGCATCCTCTTGGCTACAGACCATACAACTGTCACAGTGGCATGCACATACATAATGCCACTGAAGAATAAGACCATATTCAAAGAGAAAAGACTGACTTGCCAAGAGAATAGCAGCATCTGACCTAAAACACAGACCCAACCATTTATCTAGCCCTCTCTCCAGAACGTTTTAAGCTCTGTAAAATAAGCAGTATACTTCACAACAATATATCACACAACTCTGAGAGCTTGACCTTTCTTTCTCCAATCCCTGCTTTAATACTCTACCTTTGGTTAGGGTAACTGAGAAGTTTGTAATATGCTTAAAAGTCATGGGATGGGATCTTCATGCCTATCTCTTCAGAAGACATGAAAGAAACTGTAGAAGTTGCTCTTCTAGCTAAGCTTTCTATGCAGCGTTCTTTAGATAGCAACTTTTATCTTCCTGTTTGGGTGTCAAAAAACAACCACTTATTCATATGGTATTCTCTCAATATTCACAGATGAGTATGCAGGAGTATGAATTAATAAATGATGAGAAAGAAGATGAAAGTTGCCTACAAAAATACCGTAAACGCTGCATGCAGGATATGCACCAAAGGCTGAGTTTTGGGCCTAAATATGGCTATCTGTGTGAGCTGCAAAATGGAGAACAGTTCCTGGAAGCCATTGAAAAAGAACGTAAAACTACCACCGTCATTGTTCACATTTATGAAGACGGCATCAAGGGCTGTGATTCTCTGAACAACAGCTTAACCTGCCTTGCTGCTGAGTACACTACTGTGAAGTTCTGCAAGATCAAGGCCTCCAGCACTGGGGCTGGAGATCGCTTCTCAGACGAAGTGCTTCCCACTCTGCTCGTCTACAAGGGTGGAGAGCTTCTGAGCAATTTCATCAGCGTTTCTGAACAATTCAATGAGGAATTCTTTGCTGTGGATGTGGAATCTTTCCTAAACGAGTATGGGTTGCTACCTGAAAGGGAGCTTCCAGCACTGGGAAATGTCAACACGGATGAGCAAGATGTTGAATAGAAAGCCTAGTCCTCGCTGCCTTCCCTTTCTCTCCTGCACATTATATATCAATCTCAGTAATACCCAACTCATTTAGAGAAGGCTGTCATTGCTTCCTAAAATATTTTTAAGATATGCATATATAAATACTCCTTAATCATTAGCATATGAATTTTTAAGTAAAACACATACATCAGCCAGCAATGTACATAGTTATTTCTACAGCAGGCACAGGTAACAGGAAGAACAAGAGATGATACTGGTGATCTGTAAGAAACTAGGCATGCACAAAATTAAAAATGAAGGGCCTGAGCGGGTCTCTGCTATGCACGAGAATGACTTCATATCAACAGGAACAGAACTGATCTGTCCCTGCACATACAAGAAAAGCCATCTCCATCGTCAGAATTTATAGAGAGTCCTGGCTCCACAGATTCACTTTTCCAACTACTTTCAGTAGAAACAAGATTCATTGATTCATGTAGTTTTAAGGGCAAACAAATAGCCTGAAGCCCTTGCAATCTTAAATGGCTTAGGTACCTAGGATACTGTTTCATGTTTCCGCATTTAAGTTTTAATAATTGTGAAAATACAACAGCTAACACAAACAACCTACCAGCTAATTTCAGTTTATCATTTCTCCGTGTTTTGAACTGTAATATTTAAAATATTTGCAAGCTACTGAAAAAGTATATTGTGCTTATGTAATAACTCTGAATAAACCTTAACAGCTTTTAAAAACTGCCATGAGAAGTGCAAAATATGTTTTTAATCTGTAACATTAAAAATGTGGGAAATATCAGAAAGCACTCATTCAAGTTTTTATCTTTATAGAAAAGGATACTGCTGATAACAATTTTAAAAATAATTTCAGAAGACACATTGTAGATTCCCTACAGATCTTGCTCACCACTTCTCTGTACATGTGAAGACGTTCAGCTTTTGCAGCAAGACATTAATAATGTTTCAATAATTTCTTTTGCTCAGTGGCAAATTTGAAGGCTAAACTTCACTCTAAAAAGAGAGGTATCTGCATCTTAACCACATAGTTTTGCTGATAACGTCTGATATTATCAAAATCTTCTGGCACTCACCTGATTCACTTACCAGTTTTCATTTGATTTGCTAGCTTCACATTTTGACCACTTCAGAGTGAGAGATTCAGTTTTTCTTCAGGTCAGGATCCCATCATGGAAATGTCACCTTGTGACAGCCTGAACATGGATCGGTACGAATGTATAATTCAGACATCAGCATCAAGGAGCTACGAGACATGGTTTAGAGGCTTGTGGTAGCAATGGTAATGGGAGGACGGTTGAACTAGATGATCTTGCAGGTCGTTTCCAACCTTGGGATTCTATGATCAAGAAACTATTGCTGTGATCTAACCCACACAGCCAAATTTCCGTGACTTCATTAAAAGCAGGCTCCTGATCACTCTTCTAAACATTCTAAATTTTTTTCTACTTTTCATTCACATGGAAAATTCACAGGGTAAACCAAAGTTACACCACTCTCCAACAGATCTGCACAACAAAATAATTATACTTAAAAAAAAAAAAAAAAATTGCCCTGTAAAAACCTGCTGTAGCAAGATAGCATTTCAAATAAAATGGTTAGAACAAAACTTAGGCTTCATTTTAAAAAGTGTCTACTTTTAACGACTATCAAAATATTTCTGAATTTATTTGTTTTACCACGGATTTATGTTTTAACAGAGCATTCAAAACCTCATCCTGCATAAATTAAGCAATAAGAATGAAGTTTCATATCTTAACAATGCATCAGCTCTTTTAAAATGTGAAACAATACAGGATTTTATTCCCCCAGGAGGTCAAAGAATATCTTCTCAAAATTCCATGAGTTCTGTGTCATAAATTTCTGAAGAACCAACAAATACACAATACCATACATTTTTCTAACAGACCCCCTGATGGGATAAAACTGGCAGTCTTTTTCCTTAGACCAGACCTTTTCTCTCTTCATCAAGCATGATGCTTACTCCTCAGTTACTAGCATTTTCATTTCCTCTTAGTGTTTCATTTGCATTAGCATGCCAACTTTTCAAAAAGCTACCAGTTGCAGATAAACCTAACAGTATGAAAATCACATCATATAGAAGGTTATGCAGAAAATAATCAATTATCTTTTGTCCATCACAAATACAGCCAGCTTCCTGCGTATCAAGACATTTATCTTGGGTTTGGCTGTTTTGGTGGGGTTTTTCTTTGTGAAATATTTGAAACAGGAGGTATAAAAGATTTCTGTACTCTACACATAGGAAAGCCTCCAAATAATTGGTTGGAACTTAACACTTTTGAGAATTCTTCCTTTTTATCAAACTTAATTCAAAAGTTGGTAGGAGATGAACTTAAGCAGTCTAATCACGTAAGCTTCATTTCTTTGAGAAATCAGACTGAAAACCAAATCCCTTTACAAACAATGACCATCCTAGAAAATGCACTAATAGCATTTCTGTAAGAAATGCTGTAAGCTGTAAGAAACAAGCTGACACTCCAATTTAAAAGACAGATTAAACATGCTTAAGCAGGATTTCCTTCAACCTGTAATTAAAAAAAGAAAAGAAAGAGAAATGTGACACCAAGCCCTAACAGCTCATGACTAAGTTTCAAATAAAGCTCTGATCACATCCTTATTCTGCTAGAAAATAAAAAAAAAATAGAACCTTGAAAACATAAAGCAAGACTTGACTCAAACACCACCCTATTGCAAAGGTTCTTGAATAGCAAGCAGTAAATGTTTTAACAAGCACATGGGAGCACCCTTTCTGCCTCCTTAATATAAAGTTATTCTTCCATTTGACTCAAAGCGACAGAAATCCTACATGTGTTCACATACACTGATTCAGACAAAAATGAAGGTGGGGAAACTATCGGTGGTGTCTCTGCTGACTAGACTAAAGACAGAAGCTCAAGAAGGAAGGAACACATCAAAATTATACTGTTTAAAAGCGAAGCATCTAGATTTAAACACTGTAAACAAACAAACAAACAAACAAAAAAACAGAATAGTAAGGACAAGCAGAGAAATAAAGTTTGTATAAAATTATTCCATAACTTCAACTATACAACTAACAACTACATGTAGAGAAGACAAATATTCAGAAATGGAAGTCTCAACAGCTCCTCTAGACTCCTACAAATTAAAATAAAAATATGCTTTTATCCAGGGATAGGAGTTAAACATCTCAGTTTCAATCACAATGGAATTTTCACAAATTGTAAGCTTTTGAAGCTTACAGTCAAAAAAAGGACATGCTTATATAAAACCCGAGAAAAAGTTAAGAAACAGTCTATTAATAGATTTTAAAAGTTTGCTTTTAATTTTCCTTTAAAAAAACCCAGTATCTTACGTTGTCAATGGCTAACAGTAGAAAAGGGATGGGAAGCAAGAAGGCAGTGAAATCATCTTGGTTAGTTCTGTAATTCTTAAACAAGCGAGAACCTGCTTTCTTCTACATCCACTGTTTCTCATGGCATGATGATTGGAAGGTTCAATCTGCAGATACCAGCTGAATTACTCTTTTTTTCTTGGACAGGGCTAAAATGTATTCATACTGAAAAAATGAAGTCTCCCGTGATATAAAGAACAGAGCTTATCCAGAGGAACTTTGTTCTTTGCGTTTCAATATCAAAGTGCAGTATTAGACTTCCACAGATCCTTGATACCTAGAAAAGATTAATTTGATGGTCTGTGATAACACTGTAAAGAATATTTACTATACTCTGAATAAGCCTGCATGTGAAAAGAACAATAGAGTTCTTCCCTAGGTGATCCACAGAACATCTAAACAAGCTGTACTTTTTACACAACTGCCAAACAAAAAAACTATTGGAAGAGCATTTCATTACTATTTTCCTCTTGGGTGTAATGTAGCATCTGAAATGTTGTTCCCTTCCTTGGTGGAGTTGTGAGTAACGGCAGCTACAAAAGAACTGCTTTGTAGTTTTACTTCCATGGAGGCATTCTGCAGTTAAGAACACTTCTGTTTACAAATCGGATGGGCTGTCTGAGACTGAAGAAGAAAACTTAAAACAGTGTTATAGAAGCAGTCCCTTTTTTGGCTTTCCTTCATGATGCTGTATACAGAAATTGCAAGTAAACCTGGGTGGGAGATGGGCAAGAGCTCAAGGAAAAGACTTGCAATTCAGTGACTTTGTTGTTGTCTAGCTTACAAATATTCTATCTCATACAGAATGATTTAACCATGAAGTGAATCAGACAAATAGTCACACACACATAAGAATACCAAGCAAACACAAGTTTAAAAGTGTGACTGTTTAAAACACAAGATGTTAATTCTGTGCAATCAAGCTTGAGTCCTCTAGAGATCTGAGCAAGAATGAGGCAAACAGGACAAGAATATTAAAAAAAAAACCAAAAACCTGAGTGAGAGAGGGGGGGAGAGAGAGAGAGAGAGGAAGGGAGACAAAACCTTTTTTCTTCCCATTACTTCTGTTCCCTTACAATACCTTCTTTTGGAGGCTACAGCAGAGTAATTTTTAGACCAACCATATAATAAAGCATATTGGTAAACTCATCTCATTTTCTGGGCAGCACTCAATTTTTATTTGCACAGAATATGACTCATCTATAAACTATGCAGTAGCTGATGGACTTACCTGAAAACAGTGTCTCCAATTATTGCCTTCACTTTTCCCTGTGAGGCCCTACTTGACAATACTGAGCACAGAGGAGCTGTATTCCACAATAAAGTTACAAAACTAAAAGTAGATAATTTTACCAAACATGTGAAAACAGAATACACAGACAAGGTAAGAGGATTTAAAATGCATACTTCCCATTGTTACCTTTTATTGAAAGTATCCAAATACATACTTACATACTTGATTATGTTTTAGACTAAAAAGAAACTTGCAGTGATATTTAAGTGTGCTAAAATCTGAAATTCTATTCTACTATGATTCCGATCCAAGCAAACATCGCGTTTCATATATGAATTACCTTTATTAACTTTACAAGAACTATTCTTCCCCCTGCATTCCTCATGTCAAGTTTATGATAATGATATTGCCCACTATATCCAGAAGAATATCTAATCATGGAAAGCTATCTGCTTATGGTCTAAAGATCAGGACTAGCAAAAAAAAATTGACAGCTTAGTTATAAAAAAAAAAAATAGTCTTTAACAGCTGCCTAGATGCAGATTTCTGTCCTAGCTCAGCATAGAGATATTGTCATCAGAAGTTACAGGGTAAAAGGCAGAAGATCCACAAAATTCTACACATTTTACTGATTTTTGAGTTCTCCAGGTCTTAAACTAAGTTATTTACAATCTGAATTGGCCTACTGGAAATTACTTCGATAACTATTAAGCTAGTTAAACCAATATTATCTAAAAAGTGCGTGTGGTGAGACGTTGGCTTCATAAAATCTAATTTTCCCTTGATTAAGTTTAATAAGATGAGATATCTTTTAGCAATGGAACTCCTGAAGAAAGAATTTTCATACTAAGTAACTCTGCTAATATTAGCAATAGATTGAAAAATACCAGCAGTAACATTTTATGTTAAAATTAGAAGCTAGAGGAAAATGGCGGTTCTGTGTTGGTTTAAGGACACTTTCTAAACCATAATATCATTACTTTACATAAGAGTAACATAACTAGTTTTGTATAAATTTGATTCACCTGCTACTTGATATATTAATTGCATGCTGGAACAAGGTAACCGAAAATATCGTAACAATTTATATTGCACATCTAACTGGTGGTTTTTAGGCAACAATCCTCAACTACTGGTATATTAAACCCCGATGTTTCCATCCTGTATAAATGTAATCACCAGTCAGTACTTCAGTGAGGCTGCTTGTGCTCGACTTTAGTCGCTGAAGTAATTGAAAGAGAAGATTGATGCAAAGACTGCAACAGCAACTGCTATTACCACACCTAAAAACAACAAAGGAAATACTTTTGGTGAGCAGCGAGTTCAGTGAGTGGCACAGTCAGCAGCTAGGGTGTGGAGGGTAGGGTCAGTATGAATGACAAGCCAGAGGAGATACAGCAAAAGCCACCCCAAAAGCTATGCACACCACTGCTAAGCCTAAAGTTAAAGCTATGATCTCAGATAATTAAATCACAGAAGTTTCTCATAAAATCTTTGGTCAGAGCAGTCTCCTTCCAAAAACCTGCACCTTCTCTACTAACTTGGTCATGCCCTGCCCATAAAATAAGGCAGTGACTCCACACTACTGCTTAATTCTAGGAATACAACTAGCAAAAATAACAAAATCTTCAGGCTTTAAGAAACAAAAGCTACTAAATTTTTCCACAGTTTTTCTCTGTGGCACCTCATCTGTTCCTTAAATTTCTTTGTACCAGCAATTTTCAAAGCAATTTTCTTATTGACTAATAGTTTGTTACTGATGCAGTTGAATAGAATATGCTGGGGTTAGAGGAAGGACTGATGACTAGAGAGAATAATACACTGTTATGTGCAAACCTAACAGACATTAATACTTTCCTCCATTAAAGTTACCATGTT